TTTTTTTTTGTTTGTGTTTTGGTTTTGGTAGTTGCTCTTGGCATTATAATAGTATGTATTCTTAACTTATCACATACCATCTTGAATCAATATATTTTACTTCTACTTATTTTATAAAATCCGCAACATGTTTTTTAATTTCTGCTTTAATATCCATTAATGTTTTAAATTTTTAAGAAAAGAAAGAAAAATAAACTTTAATGTTTACATATGTCTTAATTATCTAGTGCTACTATAACAGAAGCACCCCAAGTGGATAGCTTTAACAAACAATGATTCTCTCACAATTTAGATGTCCAAATTCAAGACGTCAACTCTAATGAAAGACTTTCTGTCTCTGTTGGCTCTGGAGGAAAGTCCTTGTCTCCTTTCAACATCTGTGGAATCACATTCCTTAGAGATCTCTGTATATCTTGTCATCAGTCTTCCCCTGGGTCTAGGAGGTTCTCAGCATAGTGGCATTGCAGAGTGAACAATCAGCTCTGTCAAGTCAGTATGGTCCAGGCTCAGCACACACCACTGTTTGATTGTCAGCTCTTCCTGGATTCAGTGGAAGTCTCTAGTAGCCTTCCAATAAATTACCTTTGGGGTTTGAACAGCTCAGGGGAGTTTCTGTTACTTACAAACCCACTGCCATTGAGTTGATTCTGACTCACAGCAACCTGCAGGACAACAGAGAACTACCCCATAGGGTTTCAAGCTTGTAAATCTTTATGGAAGCAGACTGCTTCATCTTTCTCCCATGAAGCAGCTGGTGGGTTCGCACTACCAAACTTTTGGTTAGCAGATAAATGCGTTAACTACTGTGCCACCAGAGCTCCTTTCACAAGCAAAGTATACCTAGCATAACCACCTCTTATTCTGAACAGTTACAGGCAATTCAACACAGTTAAATCCAATCCAACAGTTAAAAGTGTGTTCTAACTTTGGTTAAGTTTTCACAGCCATGTTCTTTAGATATTTGTAGATATATATGTATATATATGCAAAATTACCCATTTCTGCAAATGTGCAGTCTTTACCAGTTCCAGGAAAAAAAAATTTTTTTTTTTACTGCAGTTGCTTAGGATAAAAGGATTATCATTGGAAATGCCTGCCCTCTAGTGTCCACTTTTGTCTTAGTTGTGACTGTTAATGGAGGACTACCAGGTGAGTGGGACAGTGCAGTTAATGTTCTCTGCTGCTAACTGAAAGAGTGGAGGTTTGAGCCAACCCAGAATGTCTCAGAAGAAAGGTCTCATGACTTACATTAGAAAAATCAGCCTTTGAAAACTCTATGGAGCACATTTCTGCTCTAACACACATGGGGTCGCCATTAGTCGATTCTGACTCAGAGGTAATTGATTATAATAGTAAGTTAGAGAAGCTCTTGATGACTGCCATGGGACCATTTTCAGGTTATAGATGGGACAGTATGATGCATATTGGCTCCTCAACATTTCTTTAAAAGTCCAAGGAAACATTATAGCAGGATCTCTCAACTTGGGCATTACTGACAGTTTGAGCCAGATTATTCTTTCTTGTAGGAGCTCTGGTAGCGTAATGCCTAAGGCACTTGACTGCTAACCAGAAGGCTGGCGGTTCAAATCCACCAGCCACTCTTTGGAAGGAAGATGGGGCAATCTACTTCCGTAGTGATACTGCCTCAGAAACCCAAGGAGGGGTCGCTATGAGTCGGGTCCAACTCGATGGCACATAACAGCAACAACAACAACAATTCTTTGTTGTGGGTGACTGTCTCGTGTATTGTAGGATGTTTAGCAGAATCCCCAGCCTCTACCTGCTAGATACCAGTGCTCCCCCTTCCCCCGATTTCTGACAGCCAAAAATGCCTCCGGATTGCCAAATGTCGTCTGGGAAGCAAAATCACCCTGGTTGAGAACCACTGCCCTCCACTGATGAAGTAAATATATCCCATGTATCCCTCCAAAAAACCCAAACCCTCTGCCATCGGGTCGATTCTGACACCCTGGAAGACATTAGTACAGCACTGAACTGTTGTTTACGTTTATGGCACCAGGTTAGAGCCTGAGCTTAGACTATTTACAGCATTTTCCATGAAAATCACATAGATTCCCTAAAGGAAGACCATAGATTGCTGGAATGAGAGAAAGAGAGCCACAAGTGCTGGGAAAATGGAGCAGGGGTCCTCTACAAGCCAAAGCCCTCACATTGGGTTTTGGTTTTTACACGGGATCTGCCAGGTGATTTCATCCAGCTCCGAAGCCTCAGCACCATTTTGCGGAGTGTCTATAAAAGTCTTGTTACATTTTTCTGTGCTGTGCCTATTGCTCCTCTGTCAGAAACCTCATTCCATCTCAGCTCCTCTTCTCTCAAGGTTCCCCTCCTCTTTCAAAGCTCAGTTCAGAGTCAGCACCTCTGTAGCCAATTCCACCTCCTTCGATGGCCTTCCTTCTCCCACTGTCTGGACCTTGTACCTGCTCAGGTGTCATTTTCCTGCTTCTCTAGCTTGGCTATATGATGGCTTTAGACCTACATCCTGCCTTAAAAAACTGCCTTAAACTCTTAAAGTTTTCGATCTATTAAAAGATTTAATGCTTCTCAAAGGAATTGGAGTTTTTGATGGCGATTCTTTCGGTGTCCTCAAATTTTAAAAACAAGATGTTTAAAGTGTGTGTGTGCATGTGTTTGCGTGTTTGTGAAAGAGTGAGGGAGGCAGCCTAGAACTGTGGAAACAACACAGGATTTAAAGTCAGGCAGTCCTGGCTTTGAATCCTAGCTCTGCGTCTTTTTAGATCTGAGACTTT